CAGATCAGGGTGAGGTCTATTCTGTTACCTTTCTGGTTCCTGCCTCCAACTTTTTTTTTTAAGGTTTGTAGACTGGAATTTTATTCACAGAACCAGTTTAGATTGGGTCTCACTGAATGGGACTAGGAGATTTGACTCTGGAGACATGCACTGCAACAGTATGGAGCATCAGATAAAACATTCTCCCATGTCTTCTGTCACTGAAGTTCTTGCTTGAGTGGGACTATTATCAGGGTAGCATAATGCCATCTTAAATAGACTAGTGAAGGCCATCAGAGTGCTGAAAACTACTGATGTTTGGATAAATTTGACCCTTCTAAGGTTGGAAGAGTCACTTTGACCAGATTTAGTAATCCTTTACCACAAAAAGTGTACGGCCACTCTCATTGATGTTTCTATACCTTTTGAAAATAGATACTCTGCATTTCAATCAGCCAGAATGGGAAAAACAGAAGAATATAAAATAATGTATCAGCATCTGGCTCAGGAAGGCTATGGAGTATATAGCAAAATGGGGATAGTGGGGGCTCTGAGATCTGGTTAATGACTGGGTACTATCAAAACTGAAAATTAGTCTGAAGTATGCAAATATAATGAGGAAATTGATGATGTGGGCCTTGATTTGATGCGGCAGAGATATACACATATATGTCTCTAGATATTTTCATATGAATTCATATATATACACATATGCACATATGTACATAAAGACAGAACATAACATTGGTGTGAGTTTACAGAATAAAGATAAATTAGAGATAAATATTTCTTTTATTTTAATAGGGTATAAGCAATTTTATCTTCTTATATTCAAGGAGTGAGAATGGTTTATCCTACCTAGAAATGTAAAAGTTTTCTTATTTTGCTTCTTGTCCTTTTTATATAACAGATATTAATTATATATGTATATGTAGTATTTTAAATTTGTGCTGTGTTTTATTACTACAAACTATACAATTATTTAGGAGAAAATTCTGAAGTGAACCATTATATGTTTGTAATATTTTGTTATGTTTATATATTTTAATATATGTTTGTATATTTTAAAGCATTAATTAACTGAATACATGAAAAAATCTAATGTGCTATAAAAGAAAGTAGAAATGACACTAAATAAAACAATTCCAGGAAGTACAACTAGGTTGATTGAGTCCATACATACATAAAGGGGATTGACCCTTGCTACAAGTGAGATAATTCTAAAGGCAATGAAGGATTGATTTTTATCGTATATGAAAGAGAAGAGAATATCAAATACTTAGAAAAATCATGTACATTTTTACTACCCTACCAACAGTGGTTGAGGAAACATCGATATCTCCCAACCCATGTGTCTACTTTACAATTTCTTTTTTTTAAATTAATTAGCTTGTTTTTAGTTTTTAACATTCACTTCCATAAGCTTTTGAGTTTTAAATTTTCTCTCTCCCTCCTCGTCTCCCACTCTAAGACAGCGTGCAATCTGAGATACGCTCTACGTATGCATTCCTATTAAACATATTTTCACATTAGTCATGTTGTAAAGAAGAATTATAACCACAAGAAAGAAAAAACAAAACAAAACAGAAGGGAAAAAAAAGAGCAAATAGTATGCTTCGGTCTGCATTCAGACTCCATAGTTCTTCCTCTGGATGTGGATAGCATTTTCCATTATGAGACTTTTGGAGATGTCTTAGATCCTTGCATTGCTGAGAAGAGCTAAGTCTATCAAAGTTAGTCATCACACAATGTTGCTGTTACTGTGTACAACATTCTCCTGGTTGTACTCACTTCACTCAGCATCAGTCCATACAAGTCTTTCCAGGGTTTTCTGAAGTCTGTTTGCTCATCATTTCTTATAGCACAATAGTATTCCATTACATTCATATACCACAACTTGTTCAGCTATTTCCCAATTGGTGGGCATCCCCTCAATTTCCAATTCTTTGCCACCACAGAAAGAGCTGCTATAAATATTTTTGAGATTTGGATCCTTTTCCCATTTTTGTGATTTCTTTGGGATAAAGCCCTAGAAGTGGTGTTGCTGGGTCAAAGGGTATGCACATTTTTATAGCTTTTTGTGCATAGTTCTGAATTGCTCTCCAGAATGGTTTGGATCAGTTCACAACTCCACCAACAATGCATTAATGTTCCAATTTTCCCACATCTTCTCCAACATTTATCATTTTCCTGTTTTGTCTCGTTAGCCAATCTGATAGGTATGATGTGGTACCTCAGAGTTGTTTTGATTTGCATATCTCTGATCAATAGTGATTTAGAGTATTTTTTTATATGACTATAGATTGCTTTAATTTCTTCATCTGAAAACTGTTTGTTCATGTCCTTTGACCATTTATCAATTGGGGAATGACTTGCATTCTTATAAATTTGACTTGGTTCTCTATGTATTTTAGAAATGAGGCCCTTATTAGAGACACTGATTGTAAAAATTCTTTCCCAGTTTTATGCTTCCCTCCTAATCTTGGTTTCATTGGCTTTGTTTGTGCAAAAACTTTTCAATTTAATGTAATCAAAATTATCCATTTTGCATTTCATAATGTTCTCTATCTCTTGATTGGCCATAAATTCTTCTGTTCTCTATAAATCTGACAGGTAAACTATTCCTTACGCTCCCAGTTTGCTTATAGTATCAGCCTTTATATCTAAATTATGTATCCATTTTGACTTTATTTTTATGGTATAAGATTGTGGTCTATGCCTAGTTTCTGCCATTCTCTTTTCCAGTTTTCCCAGAAGTTTTTGTCAAATAGTGAGTTCTTATCCCAGAAGCTGGGGTCTTTGGGTTTATCAAACAGTTGATTACTATAGTCATTGACTACTGAGTCTTGTGTACCTAAGCTTTTCCGCTGATCCACCACTCTATTTCTTAGCCAGTACCAAGTAGTTTTCATGATTGCTGCTTTATAATACAATTTAAGATCTGGTGCAGCTAGGCCACCTTCCCTAGCAACATTTCTTTTCATTAGTTCCTTTGATATTCTGGACCTTTTGTTCTTCTAGATGAATCTTGCTATTATTTCTTCTAGCTCTATAAAATAATTTTTGGTAGTTTGATTGGTATGGAACTGAATAAGTAAATTAATTTAGGTAGAATTATCATTTTTGTTATATTAACTGAGCCTACCCATAAGCAACTGATATTTTTCCAATTATTTAGATCTGACTTTATTTGTGTGAAAAATGTTTTGTAATTGTGTTCATATAGTTCCTGGGTTTGTTTCAGCAGGTAGACTCTAAATACTTTTTAATGTCTACAGTAACTTTAAATGGAATTTCTTTTTCTGTCTCTCGTTGTTGGGCTTTGTTTGTAATATATAGAAATGCTGATGATTTGTATGGGTTTATTTTATATCCTGCAACTTTGCTAAAGTTGTTATTTCAAGGAGTTTTTTACTTGACTCTCTAGTATTCTCTAATTATATCATATCATCTGCAAAAAGTGATAGCTTTGTTTCTTCTTTACCTATTCTAATATCTTCAATTTCTTTTTCTTCTCCTATTGCTAAACCTAACGTTTCTAGTACCATATTGAACAATAGTGGTGATAATGGACATCCTTGTTTCACCCCCGATCTTATTGGAAATGCTTCTAGATTATCCCCATTACATATAATGCTTGCTGATGGCTTTAGATAGATGCTACTTATCATTTTAAGGAAGACTCCATTTATTTCTATGCTTTCTAGTGTTTTTAATAGAAATGGGTGTTGTATTTTGTCAAAAGCTTTTTCTGCATCTATGTCAGATGATTTCTGTTACTTTTGTTGTTGATATGGTCAATCATGCTGATAGGTTTCCTAATATTGAACCATCCCTGCATTCCTGGTATAAATCCTACCTGGTCATAGTGTATTATCCTCAAGTTAAGTTGCTATAATCTCTTTGCTAATATTTTATTTAAAATTTTTGCATCTATATTCATTAGGGAAACTGATGTATAATTTTCTTTCTCTGTTTTGGCTCTTCCTGGTTTAGGTATCAGCACCATGTATATATCATAAAAAGAATTTGGTAGTACTCCTTCTTTGCCTATTTCCCCAAATAGTTTATATAGTATTGGAATCAATTGTTCTTTAAATGTTTGATAGAATTCACTTGTAAATCCATCTGGTCCTAGAGATTTTTTCTTAGGGAGTTCATTGAGGGCTTGTTGGATTTCTTTTTCTGAAATGGGTTTTTTAAAGTATTTTATTTCCTCTTCTGTTAATCTGGGCAATTTATATTTTTGTAAATATTCATCATATTCATCATTAATTCATAATAGTATTAATTTTCTTCTTTTTTTTTATTCTTTTCACTTTGAGTGATTCTTGATATCTCATTGAGTCATTAGCTTCCACTTTGCCAATTCTAATTTTTAAATAATTATTTCCTTCAGTTAGCTTTTGTACCTCCTTTTCCATTTGGCCAATTCAACTTTTTAAGGAGCTGGTTTCTTCAGTCAGTTTTTGTCCTTCCTTGCTAAGCTGTTGACTCTCTCATGCCTCTCATTTCTTTTTCCAATTTTTCTTCTACCTTTCTTATTTAACTTTTAAAATCCTTCTTGAGCTCTTCCAAGAAGTTTTTTGGACTTGAGATCAGTTCATATTGCCATTTGAGGTTTCAGATGAGGGTATATTGACAATGTTGTCCTCTTCTGAATTTATGTTTCAATCTTCCCTGTCTCCAAAGAAGGAATCTGTGGTCAGCGTCTGTTTCTGCTTTTTGCTCATGGTTTTTGCCTATTTACTGCCTTTTAAAGTTAAGCTCTCTTGGTGGAGCACAGGGGGCACTGTCCCAAGCTTTGTGTGCTGGCGGTCAGTGACCTGGTCACTGGTTCTGTGTCCTGGGGCCTCAGGTGCTGGAAGCTGGAGGCTGTAGGCATCTGGGGTGCTGAGCTAGGGTCGTAGTGGTGGTGGCTGCATTTGCTGAATCCAGGTGGGGTTTTTCTGGGTTTCCCTGGCATGACACTGAAGCTCTCAGGGTCAGGGTCTGGCCCTTGAAGTATGCCTGCTCACCAGGGGTGCTCTGAAGCAAGGGAAAGTTTGGCTGCTGGAGAAGGCCTGCCCACCTGGAGTTGTGCTTCTGGGAGTTGTGGTGAAGCATGAGAATGTTTGGCTGCTGGAGGACACCTACCCACAAGTTCACATGGTGATTTTCCAAGCTGGAGTCTACTGGTTCCCCTGCCTGGCTATGCTAAGTCACTCAGGTGAGTTCTGGTGTTGATGCTTTCCTGACCCACCATCCTGGGGTTCAGAATCTCCTCTGGTTTGCTGAGGTGGGGCTTGCTGCTGGCTTGCTGTAATGCCTCCCATCCTGTACTGCTCCCCTTCCACCAGAGCAAGAGGGACCTTTCCCATTAATCTCCCAAGCTTCCCAGGCTAAAAGACTGCTGTGCCCCATCTTTCTGCTGGCTAAGTTGTTCCAGAATTTTTTCCTTGGGCAATATTTTCTGGGGTTTTAGAGATCAATAAGGGAGAGTGAGAGCGACTTACTGCTTACTTCACCATCTTGGCTTAGTCTAGCAGTTTTCAGAGCCTGTTTCAGCTATGCAGCAATCAAAGGAAGCTACTTCCACTCACATAGTTGTTGTTTGTCCTTTGTTTTTTAAAGAATATCAATGATATCACATTGTCTTGATTCATGGGTGAACTGATTTAAGTGAGGCAAAATTGTACATAGTTGCCAGCCTCACCCTCTCTTCTAGAGTCGTTGAAGTCCAGTGGCAAACAAAAGTCAGGATGACTGGAGATGGCCTAGGATGCAGTGGATAACAAGGATCTTCAGTGTCTAGCCAAGCTCTAAATGCTCCACAGCACCTACTTAAACCACCTTCATGGTTGTTGGAACAAATTGTTCTCATCCACCCATTCCACCAGAGGGATTCTTCACATGCTTGGGGCAGACACCCCCCTAACTCATGGACAGGTTTGAGACCTAGGCTGCCTTCAACCTAGTTTAGTTCATCTGTCAAGATGGTTTACTGGGGTGTGGCCCCTGTGCATGCTACAGCTTCTTGGAACCACAGGTGAGAGTTGACTGCCCAGTGGACACCAAAGGTAGATGAACAGCCCTGAAAAGGACTTGGCAAACCCCCACACCAGAAGTGCTAATCCTCCTTTAACTCCCCATACACTCATCATATTACTGGATTGGGGAAAGGAACTCCTCCCAGGAGCAGGTTACCTCCAAGTAAGAAAATCCGAGCATGTACAGAGAAAGTCCCCTTATATACTTTCCCCTCTTTGAAATTTACTATCCCTAGGGGCAACTAGGTGGTGCAGTGGATAGAGCACTGGCTCTGGATTCAGGAGGACCTGAGTTCAAATCTGGCCTCAGACACATAACACTTACTAGCTGTGTGACCCTGGGCAAGTCACTTAACTCCATTGCCTAGCTGCGCCCCCCCCCAAAAAAAAGAAATTTGCTATCCCTGGCCAATAGGTAGGTGTCAAGCCCAGATTCAGTATAAAGAAAACCTGAGGAGTCGAAAGTAAAAACAAAAAACAAAACAGAAATTCATCTTTAATTTGGACAGGATCAGGAATGCATACACTGGGACACTGCAAGTACTAAAGTAAAAGAGTGCCCATCAATATAGGATTATGTAGCAGTGTTTAAGGACTAAAACCACAAGAAGGAGAACAAAATGGCAGTTTGGGAGAGGGGAGCTCATGGAATGGATGGAACAAGGAAGCAGGATGTTGGTGCAAGTCAGCAATCCCAGGATCAGTTTAGATTAGTTTAGGGTGGTCTGGATTGCTCCAGGCCAGGGTTCAGTCAGAGGACAAACCCAGAGGTGGCTGGGCAAAAGTAAGACTTTGGTTTGTCATTCTCTTTGGTGACTGGTCAGCCCAGGTCTTCATCTAGAAATGGGAGTTCTGTCAGAACTATAGCAGAATTGAAGCCATTTTCACCCTTTCGGTCAAGGCAGTACCGCTGTCTACCGGTGACCAAACAAAAGGGACTGAGGGAGGGAGGGAACTCCTGAGAGGATGGTATCAAGGTTGCTAACTGGTGGTAGAAGGGCAGGGAGAGAACCTCATGCAAAGGCAAAGTTAGTATGGAAGAAAGATCAGAAAAAGATAGGGGGATATGACTTTTATGACTAAAATCTATAGTTGCCTTATGTGTTTCAAGGAAATTGCAGCCAAGGAGATGGATGGGAGACTTGGGGGACAGGAAAAAGGATGGTAGCCTATAAGGCTATCAAAGGTAAAGGGCAAAGGGAATGACACATAGATAGACTGAGAAATGTTGGAGACCCTCACAGTAGTAACCTTTTCTTGACTCTGAGAAAGGGGTTTAGGGAAATTGGTGAAGTTTAAAACTGATAAAATTGGCCCTGTATCTACCAGAACTTCAGCAAGGTGCCCACAAATACAAATAGAAGTATTACCTGTGGGGAAGGTGGACACGGCAAAGTAGGCACCAAATTCCTTTCATACTTCCCTCATTAATGGAACCTCAGTATGACATTGCCTCTTAACTGCCCAGCTCCCCATCTTGTTGTTCTTCTGTCCCTTTCTCCAGTTCATACCCTCTTATGAGTTGGCCCAAACCCAAATCCTTAACTCAAAGAGACTGGGATGCAAGAGTCTGATCTGTTCACAGTTTGAAAGAAACTTTTAGAGCCTGAGAAGAAATTACCACAAGAAAGAATGAAAGGAACTTGGGTTTATTTAATTCTTGAACACCTTTTGGACAAGTCTTTGGTTCTCTTTTGCTCTGCTTATCCTTCCATCTCTCTCCCCTTCCTTTCTTCTCCTCTCCCCCTTTCTTCTTTCTTCTCTTTCATCTCCTTTCCCTTGCTCTTCCATCCTCTCTTCCTCTCCCTCTCCTCTTCCTCTCTCTTTCTCCTCCTATTCCTTTTCCCTCTCCCCTCTTCCTCTCTCTTCCCCACCTCTCTCTTCCTCCCTCTCTTTTTTCTTCTCCCATCTTCTCTTTCTTCCCCATCTCCTCTCTTCCTTCCTCTTTCACTTCTTTTCTTCTCCTCTCCTTCCTCTCCCATCCTTTCTTCCCTCTGCTCCTATCTCCCTTCTCATTGGCTCATTTTTTTTTCTTCCTCTCAGTCTCCATCTCCCTCTCCCCTAGGGATAAGAGATTTCCTTGCCTCTCCTTCTAGAGTGTTTATCAATTTTAATAGGAACCAAGAGCCATTCTCAGGAGATTCCCTCCAATTTGCTCTCCATTTATTATTTAAAGAGGTAGGGAAAATCATTTCAAGTTTTAATTATGGAAAGGGATCAGAGTTTTTCAACCTGATTCAACATTCCAATTGGGATTTTTAGGGGGAAGAGATGAGGAAACAATGGCCTGTATTTCAAAACTGGGCCAGTGGATTTTTACAGGTCCAGCCCCACCTCCCTTCATCCTAGAGGGGCAGGCACAACATTCATTCTTCCAAAGTCTTAGTTCTTACATTAAAAGCAGAATTTGCTACCTGGGCAGCACTGTTTGTCAACATTAACAATATTTCTTTATTGATGCACTGACAGAAGCTGTTGGGGCAGTCCCTAGCAAGAAAGCAGGTTTTAAACAAAACATAGGTGAAGAAGGAAGAAATGGAAGAAAAAGAAGGGTAACCCACTCCCATTGTCCATTTTATCAGTCCATCATATCTTATGACTTGGATGTCTCATGAAGTTGTCTGATTTTTGAGAACATTTCCAAATGTAGTCTTCAGTCCTATGGAAATTGGCATTCTGGAATAGATGGAGTTGCATAGCAGCTTCCTTTAGCAGTTCTCTTGTAGAGCTCCCCATTTCTTAACATCTCTTAACATCTCTTGCAAAAATAGATCTTAATACAATTCAAGTTTGCTTTGCCAATAACCGGGTCAAGTAGTGAGAACTAGCTCAAACCTTATGTCTCCAATGAGAACATCAAATTAGGAACCATTTTTCCTACTCCTTGCTGTATCCTTAATTAAACCAGATATTTGGACATTATCAACAACAGACTGAAGGGAGAGTCTTTTAGAATCTATGAGGATCTGACTTGCAGAGTGAACATTTAACTTTTGTTGTAGATCTATGTCCTTCTTCACTTGGATTCAAGTTCCAAAAAGGGAAGAAATTTCAGTTCATTACCTATAATTGCCTTATGATGTAAGTTAGCAAATTGTTATGCTGATATATTCAAGGAATTCAAATAACTGAAAAACTAGAAAATTCTACACCAAAATTTTAACATTTGGCATATATATATATATATATCAAATATATATGTATATATCTGATCTTGTTATATGTATGTATACACATATATACACACTCTCTCTTTTCTCTATATATGTACATACACATGTACATATATATGTACATACACATGTACATATACATGTACATATACATGTACATATATATACATATATATGTACACATACACAAAATTTTCACTCTAACAATTTCATTATTTGACTAGTTATTTACTTTTAGTTGCTTACTCCCCTCTTGGGTGAATGAGATTCTGCCAAGGAACTAATAATAGAACACTTTTCATAAGAAGATAACCTCTCATACAAAATTGAACTCATTTACAAGTTGCCAAATTAACTTCAATTGCAGTAAAATGTTCTGGGATGGGATGTATAAATACATTGGGTAATCAACTTCAACTTAGTGTGTATCAAATAAGTCATTTATAATAAAACACATTCAGTTACTATGTTCAAATGAATAACCCTGAGTAAAACTCTTTATGGTTACATAAATCACTCTTCTCTTAAGATAACTAATTCTGCTGAATTTCTTTTCCTTAACACAGGACAGAAAATATTTATGATATTAACCTCATTAAATAATAGAATTAAATCCTGATGTCACAAATTCTTACATCATTGCCTATTATTCCCATACCATTGTGAGACATTAAAAGACCTTATCTAATACAGGAAAATATAACTAACAGGCAGATGACAAGGCTAAATACTCTTCTACTTAGTTGTTTAGGATATAGAAAGGACTATAATTATAGGTTGAATAGTTCAGAGTAGCTCAGACTGTATTAGCCTATGAGATAAAGATTTAATGTTGTGTTTATACTGATCACTTGCCATGATTATAGATAGAAAATGTTCCCCTAACTTGATATCAATCCCAGGTAAGAGTAATATAGGCAGCCAATTGTATTGAGAAAATACCATAGTCAGGCTTAAAGTCAGTCAGGTGGGATATTTTCCATTTAAAAGGAAATTCTATCCTGAGGAAATTGAACCAGGAGAATTCTACTTCAGGCCATGCCAAGAGTTGTTCTGTCACCCTTCCCCATGAGAACTCCACCTGCAATTTATAGATGTCAACCCCATAGGACTATTGGCATTACGGATCATTGGCTCAATAGCATAAACCAATGATCATACTTGGAATCAGACTTCAAATAATATCAATTATAATCTCGTGAGATTTTACCTCAGATAGCAAATTTCACTAATTGTGCTTAGGGCTGGACACAAATTACTCTCACGTTATTACAATAAATCAGCTTATCAGCAAAAGTACCAGTGTTTTAAAACTTTCTAGGCTATAAACAAACTCCTATTTATTAGCAAACAAATTCCTAATTATTCCCCCCTCTCATCAAAGAGTATTTAAAATGGGGGAAGAAATAGGAATTTCATACAGCAGCAGCTCTTGTACAGGGTTAAGGCTCTGGAAAGCAGATGGTCTCAAGCAAACAGAGAGATTTCCACACAGTAAAAATCAATATTTGCTTTTAAAATATAGGTTTTAACATCATGACAATTACCCTTAATAACTTAGTTAACAATCTTATAACTTTCATAAGTGATAGTAAAACAATTTTAGCTGTAACTTCTTAACTATAGGTAATAAAGGAAATTTCCAGTTTCTTAAATTTTAGTACTTCAAAATGGTACAAAACATGGTTAGCAGGGTTGATAAGATAACATAAGTTTTCAAATATTTTCCCCACCTTTTAACAATTCACTTCATAATCTAATAACATTTGAATTATATAAGAGAAGTTGCTTTTCTAACAGCCTATTTGAAACAATATTTTGCCAAATTTCAAAATATAGGCATGTATTTAATTTTACACTAACATTACTAGGAAATACATATAAAGCTTGAATTGAATACATATAAAGTTTGAATTCACACCTGTCATCATCAGGTTAGCTTAAATTGTGCTTGGCTAAATATTGTAAGATTCTAGTTGGAGGACTGATTTTTGGCCCAGGAGGAAATAAACAGGGAGTTTGATCTGATACTGGCATGGAATGGCCTGTTTTCCACAGGCAGAAATCTTTAAGAGTTTTCACAGAGGGACTTCATTAAATGATTTTCACTTTGAACAATACAAGGAAACATCA